ACTTTGCCAAATGTTCCCTGGGGTGGGGGGCGGGGGAAGCCCCTAGCTGAGAACCACTAGTCTAGGCTAGAGCGATGCTATTTCTCTGTGAAAATATGTGAGTGTGTGCCCTTCCTTTTGACTCTGCACAAATGGCCAGCATCTCTGATCTATTTTCGCTTCCAGAATGTTCCCATGGTGTCAACCCTTCTGACTTCAGTGCGCCTTTAAAAAGTTTTCTTAGAAACAACTTCAGTGGCCCTCTTGGCCACACTTAATAAGTGCAAAAACATGGTAATTGTACCCAGGATAAGCATACTTGCCCTGGATCAATACAGATTCAGACTGGGGGAGGGGGGAAGGAGGAGGAATGGGTAGGTCACCTGAGAACTCTGAGTGACCCACCTTGCCTATGTCACTACCAAGCTTGTCCTGTGGCTTGCCTTTACTCCCCTCTTTTGTCCTCCCACTGAGAAAGTAGAAGGAAAGAATGATTTTAGAGACTCATTTTCTTGGAGCTATGATCTCCTCTGGGTGATATCACAACTGCCTAGGGGTCTAGGCTCAGCTCATGTCTCTGGTACACTGGAAAATATCTGGAGTGGGAGCTGGGGACGTCAGGCTGGAGTCCTGCCTGTGTCAAAGCCAGCCTTGTGACCTCAGGCAAGAGATCAACCTCTGAGATCAGATTTCTCATCTGTAAAGTGAGGCTATTAATACCTTTTTTAGGGGGTTGTTATAAGGATTAAATGAGAAAATGTTTGTGAAAGAGCTATGTGGTACAAACTGCCATACGAATCCTAATTACTATTGTTATTACCTGTTGTTCTAAATGAGAGAAGGAATAATATCAAGTCCTTTATCCAAGGGGATCCTCAGCCTGTCCCCTCCCCCCCCCTCAGTTCTGCTGAGCCTCACCCAGCCACTGCATCCCCATTTCTTGTCCCCATCAGATCAGTCTCCTCCCCTGCCATGCACTTGTTCCTCTGGCTATGTCTCTAAGGGACCCTCCTGCCTGGAAGGCCTCCTCTCTTCTCCACCTGTCCATACCCGTGTCCTTCAATACCCAACTCCCAACCCACCTCCTCTAGATCTTTCCTCTAACATAGGGGGTGGGCAAAGCCCCGTTTGTCCTCCTCTCCCAACTGAGCTACCTACAACCCCACAAACCCAAGACAAAGTTATGGGTCGATCTGGGTTGATGATGATAAGATGATGATGATGATGATGATGATGATGATGATGATGATTTGTAAGATTTAATAATAAGAACCACTAATGTTTTTGAAGCACTTCCCATGTGACAGGCACTGCACTAAACACTTTGCATGTATTAACTCATTTATAGAGTGCTGGCTGGCCATATGGGATTAAACATCTGTCTCTCGTCCAGACCCCAGCACAATATCACTTCCTTGGTAGAACCTTCCCCGTTGGCCCCAGGCAGAATTAATATTTCTGCCTCCATACCCATGGTGCCTGGTCTGTTATTGACCTAATTTCATTAGGTTTTAATTATTTATCAAAGTCTCCCCTTCCATTCTGTGACCGTCTTGAGGACTATCTTTATTAACCTTGGCGTCCAACAGTGATTGTCACATAGTTGCTGCTCATTAAATATTTGTTGAATGAATGCACTGATGAATGGGGTAATTAATACCATCTTCCCCGATGTGCAGGTGGTTTTATGAGCTGTTCCCTACACGAGGCCATTTTCCTGACCTTACGCTTGAAGAAGCATTCTAGACCAGTGCTACTCCAAGCACGATCCCTCTGCAAACAATTTGTTGCCAGTCCGTGACAGGGCAAGTGCAGAAATTGACAGTAAGCTTTTAGGAAATGTTAGGTACCTTGACAGTAGTTTTAAGTCCACTGGATCTAAAAGCTTTAAAAGTCGGGCTTTTATTTTGTATGTCTTTATCTGTTGCTTCCTTTTTCTAATAATGCGTTCTCACTGTTCTTTGCAATTATATCATCCGGCAATAGATTAGACTTTAAAAATCAAGAACTGTTTTTTTCGCCCAAGGAGTCTGGAACCACTAGTCTTGCTCCAGACCATCAAACTCACTGGGATACCCATGGTTGAAGTCAACAGAACCCATAGGTAAGGGGGGCATCATCTGTCTCTCCTACTGTTTGGAAGGACGTGGAAGTGTCTCTTATTCCTGTTTAAATTCTTCATTTTTCTCCTTTCTTCCAAATCTGGCAGGTTAAATGAATGAAAGGTGACTCTGGTCTGGGCCTAGACAGGAAGAGGGGAGGGTAAGGGGGAGTCAGAAGAGAGTCTGAGAAGGGAATGGTCACCAGGAGCAGGGGGCTGCCCTGAGGGGGGTGGGGAGGCTGCTAAGGAGACCACTCAGCTGTCAGGCTGGCTGGCTGGAGCAGCTGGGGCTGAGATGGGGGAGGAGCATGGAAGGCCTCGGGACTGGAAGCTTCACCAAGCCCAGGGGATGAGAGCCAGGCTCTTGAAGGTGGAAGGAAGCAGTTTCAGGACAAATGAAAGGGGATATGGAATCCTTCTACAGAAGGGATGTTAAACAGGAGGCTCTTGTACCTCCCCCGAATTAAGCGGTAAAGGCCAAAACTCTAAGTAGGTAGGTAATGGAGTGATATAGAAGCTCTCCTCTTCCCAGCCCAGAGTGGGAGTGGGGTGTGGATGTTAAGTTGGTGAAATCAAGACAGTCCACTTGGTGGAGGGGGGAATTGTACCATCTATAGATGCTCCTTTATTTATTTTTTTAATTTATTTATGAGAGAGAGAGACAGCATGAGTGGAGGAGGGGCAGAGAGAGAGGGAGACACAGAACCCGAAGGGGGTTCCAGGTTCTGAGCTGTCAACACAGACCCAGACGCGGGGCTTGAACTCACAAACCAGGAGATCATGACCTGAGCCGAAGTCGGATGCTTAAGCAACTGAGCCACCCAGGTGCCCCTGTAGATGCTCCTTTAGAAAGAGAAGGTCTGAATCCCAGGCCAAAAAGGTAGGAAGTACAAGGCATGATTACAGCCTAATCGATGGCATTAGCATATTTAAAGATCAAGTCTAGGGGAGGACAATGGGACTCAGAAAGGCAGAATTTGATGGTGTTTATTAAACATAGAGAAACACAAAATCTGGAAATCTGGAGCTGTCTGGTCCCTGGAGAGTCAGCTCCAAGGCTGGGCAAGGCTGGAGAGCAAGGTCTTATCAGGGCCTGGGCAAACCTCCCTGAGGACCCACCAGCTTCCTCTCCTCTGATTCCACCCACAATCCACTGCTGCCGTGACCTTCTAATCAAGAATTCTGTTCCCACAAAGAATTGCCTAGAAGGAGGGACCATGAGGCCTATACATCGGAGCATCAGGTCCACTTGATAATGGTGGTGGTGGTTTTGGTGGTGGTGACGATGATATTATAGCGACTACAGCTGACTTTCACTAAGCCCGTGTCAGGCACTGTTCCAAGCCATTTACAAATATTAACTCATTTAAAACAACCTACAACCCTATGAGGTAAGTCTACCCCCATTCTTAGATGAGAAAATTGAGGCACTGTTAAGTCATTTTTCATGTTTATACAGCTTGTACGTGGAATAGCCAAGACTCGAACTCAGGCTGCCTGACTCAAGAACCTGCACTAGGCTAGACCACTATGCGTTTAGTTTTTTTTCTTTTTTGAAATGTTCACTTTTGAGAGAGAGAGAGAGCACGCGCAAGAGTGCACAAGTGGGGGAGGAGCAGAGAGAGGGAGACACAGAATCTGAAGCAGGCTCCGGGCTCCAAGCTGTCAACCCAGAGCCCAACATGGGGCTCGAACTCACACACCTTGAGATCATGACTTGAACTGAAATCAGACGTTTAACCGACTGAGCCACCAGGCACCCCTGCATTCAATTTTTGTTGAGGACAAAAATTGGCAGTCTGGCTGGTGTGCCCATCCATCTCTTTTGGGATTGGTTGGGGTGAGTCTGGGCCAGATTCAGCGTGACCAGCTCTGCAGCACTAACCTAATGGGGGTTTTGCAAGACTCGGGACTATGTGCTTCATCTAGAAAGTGCCGTCTTGTGTGGTTAAGCCAGTGTGACCAGCTGACTTCCTGGGCAATGCCCCTCCCCACCTCAGAGCCCAACCCTCCAGGCACTTTGAGCTGGGAATCAGGAACCTAAGGAGTAGGCTTACCAGCTATGGACTTTGGAAAGGTCACCACCTAGTGTGCGTGCCTCAGTTTCCTCACAAGTAAGCTGTGCATGTTGAACCACGCTAGCCCTTACAGTAACTCCCTTTCTAAGTGAAGAATCAGGTGGAACCACGAACGCGCTGGTTCTTGCATAATATAAGAAGTGAGTAGATGGGAGGAGGTGGGTGGGCCCAACAGGGCACAGAATCCAGGGCAGTTAGGTTCAGAGTTCGTGTCAAAGCTTATTCACCGCCACTGTGGGACCGTGCTCCTCCACCCAGGAGTCCTCGGGGCTTGCTCTGAGAGGACTTGGCCAGGCGCTGCAGGCTGAGGCTTTGCCGGGTGGCCCCGCCTCTCTCTTCAGCTCCCCCGTGGAGGCAGGAAGGGTTAGAAGTCAAAAAGTCTGTCCAACTGGAAGGGCTGGAGAGGAAAGTTTAAGGGGCTGGAGGAGGCGGGAACGGCTTCCCAGAGCTAGGAGCTGCGTAGGGAGCTAGAGAGTCAAGGCCAGATGAAGACCCAGAGGTCTGGAGGGGCGGCTGACCTCTCCCCCTAGGCTTCGGCCGACAGGGGGCGCTGTGACCTCCTCCGCGCCCTGCTAGCTGGATTCCTAGCTGCTTTCCGCTGCTGTAGTGTAATGCGCGCTTGTCTTTCCCCTCCACGGTGCTCAGGTGCCCGCTGGTCCCGCGGAGCACCGCCGTCTCCCTTCCTCTTAGGGGTCCCGGGTTCAGCCCCTTGCCTGGACCAAACTGGGCAGGGGCTTAGTCTGTGGAATGAATGGATGAAGGAACGAATGAATGAAAATGAACGAATGAATGAATGAAAAGGATTCGTCCCACAGAGCTCCGCGTCTCCGCGCGCCCCCGACATGCGGATGCCAAAGGTGCCGGGGGTCGGATGCGACGCCCGCGCCCTGCTGAAGTGGGGGCGGCGGGGACCTTCTGGCCAGCTGGCTGCAGGGCGGGAACTGCCCAAACGCAGTTCCCAGCTTCACCCGGTTTCCGCGGCGCCCCTGCTCATTCGGGGCTGCCTTACTCCCCGGTCTCCAACAGCCTCGCTCTCGTAGATTCACCCGGGCTCCGCCAGACCCCCCACACTCCCTGGACTCCCCAGGTCCCCACCTCTAGCCAGGCGGGAGGCGGGAGACTGCCACCTCTCCCGCCCCCGCAGGTCCCCGCCTCCATCCCGGCTACGGCCTGCCAGCGCGTCCCGCCGACTGCCGCAAACCTGGGCTCAGGAAGGGGCACAGCGGCGAGGCGACCGGAGCAGGGGAGGGGAGGGGAGGGCGCGGAGGAGGCGAAGGGGGAGCGCGCCGAGGGCGAGGAGGGAGGGACCGAGGGAGAGGGAGGCAGAGAGGGAGGGGACACCTACGAGGGGCGGGGAGCCGAGGCGGGGAGCTGCGCGGACCGAAGGGGAGGCGCGGGACGCCGGGCGCTGCGGGTCCGGCTGGAGTCAGAAGCGGCCGGACCAGCCCGGGCCGGGCAGGAGCGCAGAGGGCGGGCTGGGCTGCGGAGCTGGGGAGGCACGAGCCGGCACCTCGGCGCAGCGACACGGAACCTGGCCGTAGCCGCGCCGCCCCAGCCCTCAACCGCCGGCCGGCCCCTCTGGGATGTCCCAGGGACCCAGGCGTCCGGGACGGTGACCGAGCGAGCCCGAGGATGGGACGGCGCCCGCAGCTCCGGCTCTCCAAAGGTAAGCAGCAGGCAACTGAGAGCAGGCGTCCCAGCCCGACCGGCCGGGGGCTGGGTGGGCTGTGGGTGTGATGGGGGTCACCGGGGAAGGCTGTGCACACACAGGTCCCTCTCTCTGGACCTCTGGAGCCGGCGTGGCGGGGGCGGGGAGGACTCAAGTGAAAAAAGACATCATTGTGGCGAAGCTGCGGGGCTGTTGGCGGAGGAGGGGGTCCGCCCACCCGGGCAACCGGCTCTGTGCGGAGAATCGCTTTAGGCTCTGGGAGTGAAACTTGGTTCCATCTCCCACCCTCCCATGCAGACCCCGACCCCGGGTCGGGAGGCTCCGGAGATGGGTTCCTCGCGGACCCCAGCACGCTCTCAGCAGCCCCCCCACCCCTCCGCACGCCCCCGCCCTGGTTCTTGGGAGCTCCTTCCTGCCCCTTCCCCTGCTCGTTAAGCTGCGAGTCTGGGGAGATAAATGTCCCCCGTGTCTCCCGGCCTTTGATCAATATCGCAGTCTCCGGGGAGGAGACAGTGCATCCGGCTGCGGTTACAGTTGCTGCGCGGCGGCGGGCCGGCGGGAGCACCTCGCTCGCTCCCCGAGCCTTTGCACTCGGGGTCCCTGCGCCGTGCGGCTGGCGGCTCCTGCTTCTCCTGCTCCGGCCCTGTGGCGATGCGATTCCGGCGCCCGGAGTTTAGAAAAGTCGTCCGATAGCATGACCAGCGTTTGCCGGCTCAAGTTCGGGGGCGACGGGGCTGCCCGAGGGCGGCGTAGGCCGGGGAAAGGCTGGGGGTGTCGTCAGGCCGGCCCGCGGGTAGTGACAGCCGCCACTTCAGTGCCCAGGGCTTCCCAAAGCGGTTCGGCTCGCCGGGTGTAGGCGCGTAAGCAGCCGCCGGAGGGAGAGGTGGGTGGGCCTCGGCACCGCTGCCGGGGAGCCCAGCTCTCGCCGGAGGATCCCGACTCCGCAGGGTCCGTGTGGACGGCCTGGGCTACAAATGCAGACAACACCAGCTTGACTGGGTTCAGAGCATTTAAAAGCGATTACATTGAAAAGAATTGAATGGATTTGGGGGAGGGGTGCGGGTTGACTGAATTTCAGTTTTCTAGCAGTAATTAAACCAACTCTAGGTATACCAGCTCCCAAGTGGTTCCAGTTCAGCCAAATTCTTTAAATGTAACAGCGGCCAGGGCAGAGACGTTACCAGTTACCCAAGCTTCTTCTCCATCCTCTCCCTCCCCTCCCAAATATTTATAAGTTGTTTTTAAAAACTGCTGAGGGTCGGGCTGCTTGAACCCATGTCCCCTCCTCCACCCATTAACTGAGGACGAGCGGTGAAGCCAGAGATTATTTTCTGGGTGATCAAGACTGGGGGAGGAAGGTAGGAAGAAAAATACCCAGAGAGGTTGAATAGATGGCATTGAATGGGAATATTTTCCGAAAGGCTAGTGTGTACCCAACCTTGCTCTGAATTCACAAATCATTAAACTGAATTGGCTCTTTTAAATGGATTCAGAGAACTGAACTGTAGGTTTGGGGTTTTTTGTGTAGTTTTTGTGTTGCTTTGTTTTTTAAGTTTACGTGGTAATAGCCGAATGTTCTTTCTCCGGCCTTTCTTAGAATCCTGTGTAATTCTCTGCTTAGAATTGTCACGTTTTCCTAAAAGAACAATTTTTTTTTTTCTGTTGTTATGTGTGTGTTTTTCTTACTAGATGGTGAGATGTGTATGCCCTTTATGTCTGGCCTAATGAACGCAGTAGGTGTTCAATAAATACCGAATGAGGGAGAGGCAGCGAATGAATGGCCAGCTAATGCTCATTTCAGTCAAATAATTACTTGTTCCTTCTATTTATGTAGCACGTACAACTTGCGGGACATTGTTCTACCTGCTTTGCAAATATTAAGTTACTTAGTCTGCTTAACAGCCCTGGGAAGTAGGGATTATTACCGAGGCACAGAGAGGCTAAGTAGCTTGTTCAAGGTCGCACAGCCAGTGAGCGGTGGAACAAAAACTCAAACCTAGGCACTGTTGTTCTAAGGGTTTGTTTTGTTAGCTTTTATCAGCAAATGTTCTAAGCCACTTAAATCTCATCCTAGACCTCTGCCAGATGAGAACCCAGATAGTTCTGTCAGTCTGTAATTATTATATTTTTATTGTTGCTATTTTTTTAAGCAGGCTCCATGCCCAACATGGGGCTAGAATGCACGATCTTGAGATTAAGAGTCGCATGCTCTGGGGGCCTGGGTGGCTCAGTCAGTTGAGTGTCCGACTTCAGCTCAGGTCATGATCTCATGGTTCATGAGTTCGAGCCCCGCGTCGGGCTCTGTGCTGACGCCTCAGAGCCTGGAGCCTGGAGCCTGCTTGGGATTCTGTGTCTCCCTCTTTCTCTGCCCCTCCCCCACTCATGCTCTGTCTCTGTCTCAAAAATAAATAAACATCAAAAAAAAAAAACAAAAAAAAGAGTCGCATGCTCTACCGACTGAGCCAGTTAGGTGCCCCTAGTTCTGTCAGTTTGAATTTAGGGGAATTCATCCAGAATCCAGTTTGGTCCCCAACAAGTCAGCCAGTGTTGGGAAAGGACCACTCTGGGACCCTTATTGTGGGCTGAGCACTGCCCTGGCTACAGAGAACTGGGGGGAGAGTGTGTGGGGAGAGTGTGTGCAGGTGAATGTGTGTGGATGCAAAGGAGGGGACAGGTGAAATATTGTCTCTGCCTCCAGGGGAGAGGGGGATCGAGCACCTCTGGGTTACCCACCCACCAGCTGCAGCTCCTTGCAGGGAGACCCAAGTGTGGCTCTAAGAGGTGGGCTCTGGGAGTGTGAGGGTGAGTTCTTCTTATGTTTTAATGTTTATTTATTTTTGGGAGAGAGAGGAAGGAGAAGGGGCAGTGAGAGGAGGACAGAGGATCCGAAGAGGGTTCTGTGCTGACATCGCGGAGCCCGATGCAGGGCTCGAACCCATAAACCGCAAGATCATGACCTGAGCCGAAGTCAGAGGCTCTACTCACCGAGCCACCCAGGGGCCTCAAAGAGAGTGAGTTCTGAAAAGGCTGCTGGTTTTATTGCTACTGTTCTTGTCTTAAGAGCAATCTCACAACGCAAGACAAAGTCTGGAAACCAGAAGGGACAATTATTACCCCCTCACCCTCCTAACACAGCTACTGCTATCATTTTTGAGATAATCCCTGTAGGCCCTTTCTCAAGTGCAGGTTTGGGCACCGCTGTGGCCATCAGGCACACCCCGTCACTTACTGTGTCACAGCCCAAGTCTGGCCCATCCTATTCTGGAGCCTCCAGAGGGAGCTTGTCAACATCTGCCTGCTGCTTATGAGTGGATATACCTTGGATCCCTATACTGGCGCACATTTGGATCATTTCCAAATTCTTTCTTTGACAGGTAATCTGGAGCCAGTTTTTGAGGGAGGCATTGGCAGAAGGGCAAACAAGTGAGCCCAGGGCGGGGCCACAGGCTGCCTTGCTGGGTGGGGACAATTGGGCTGGCCACAAACGAGGTGCAAAGGAGGAGAGTGGGGCTGAAAGCCAGGCTAGGACATTTGGATTCGATACGAATCTCTAGGGAGGGGTCTGTCCAGTTCCCAAGGAGGATACAGACCCGTGGAAAAGCAGAGGCTGTGAGGATCAGCCCAAGTGGAAAATCCGTTTCTCACCCTCTCTGACATTTGCTCCTTGGACAGTGTCAGCAGCCAGTGGGGTTCAGCTGCACAGAAGGAGTTTGGAGGGTCCAAGGGACCCTTTGGCAGCATCCCCAGTGCCCATGACGCGTGCTGAACCCATAGACCCGAGCCCTGACCATGGTGTGGCCGGAAGGAAGGCGTTAGGCACAGGGGCTGGTCATGCAGCAGTTACGGGGTGGAAAGACCATCAGCCTGGGATTTGGCAAATCTGACTTCGGTCTCAGTTGTGCCTCTAATCAGCTGTGTGACTTAAGGTAGGTCACCGTCCCTCTCTGAGCCGTGCTTTCCCTGTCTATAAACAGGGGTATTGCACTCGATTCCCGGGTACCTTTCATGTCTCTGTGAAAGATCTGTGTCCAAACACTCCTTAGGGCCATGACCTTACATGGGAAAAGTGGGGTGCAGCAGATTCAGTTCCCAGCTCTGTTCCTCCCCAGCTATGGGACCTTGGTACTTGGTATTTGGGCTCAGTACCCTGTATAAACTTGAGTATCCATCCCTGGCTATGAAATGGAGGCAATACCTAACTCAGAAGGTTGAGGTAAGGGTGAGAGAGTTCCCGCATGGAAACCCCCTGGGGTAGCACCTGGTACAGAGTTTGTTTTCAGAAACAGGTGCAAGGATTGCTTGCATTTCAGATCAAATGGGATCATGCAGGAAAAGCAACTTGGAGGAAGAGCTCTTGGGCGTTGCTCAATACGTAGCATTTTTGCGTCTTTCCCTTTCCACAGCACTGAGCCTCCCAACCCACCGCATAGAGTAGGCATTTCACAAATGTTTGTTGACGGGATGGATGGCGTTTTTGTTGCTCCTTCCGGTTTACCACTGTGCGATCACAGTGGACGCCTTGCTGTTCCCCCGAGAGGCAGATGTCGTATCAAAACCACCCTAGCAGAAAATCCATCTCTGATGCAGAAAAGAGTGGAACCGCCCCTGAAGGACACTATTTTAAAAAGGAAGGAACGGAGGAATGGAGGAAGGGAGACAACTCGCAACAAATAGCCAATAGAGCACCCCAGTGATTTAGAGGATCCTTGAGAGTAGAGCCTTGGCTCGTGAAACTCTAGCCCCTTTGCTGTGACCGGAGGCGAGCTGGCTGGCAGCAGGTGACCTGGAGCCTTTCTTGTGTCCTCCTCTGTGCAGAGCGGGGTGGGGTGACCTCTCCCAGCTCTGACTCTCCCCTAACCAACGACGGCATCGACAAAAGGAAGCGTGAGTCCATTTTGGAGCTAAGGCCGAGTCTCCGTTTTAGCTACAGGTTTACATTCAAAGAATGAATTTGTTAATTACAAATGACCCCTGTCTGCTTAGAGTCTCAGAGTCCC